TCTATAATCCTTTGGAGACATACTATACTATTATCTAATTAGGTTGGCTGGTCTGTGTATCAGAAATCCTTCTGCAACTTGGAAAATGTAGTTATTTGAACACAAGAATGATAATCATTCTTGAATTTCATCTAGCAAGTTTGACAGGTTTTTCTCTTCCTCACTCTCCTTACTTTGCACAGCAATAAGTATACGGAGGTGAGTAAAATAACTTCTGTGAGTCTGAAATTATGTGACAACACTTCAAGAAATAAGGCACACCTTCCATTGTACATTTTTAACTCTTTCTACTATGGTACAAATGACTTCTATACAAACGTAGTATGTATATTTATATTTATAAAGTTAACCAAGTTTGAATTTGAGAAAATCTGAAGAACACATTGAACTACCTGTCAATTGCTAACATGTGGTGTTAACAATAAGTTTGACACAGAGGGAAAAAATAGATGGATATTCAATGTTAAATACAATCTTTCAAATGCATATTCTAAATTAAAAGCTTATTTCCATTTTCATAAAAATTATCTTTAGGTGGGATCCATCTGTACATCTTAGGCCAAGTTCTACCAAAATCCAAGCTAGACATTATTTGCAAAATTATTTAACTATCTAGTTCTAGAACTGGAATATCGAAGGTCATATTTTTCAAAGTAGCTTTTCTCTGTATGTGTTTAATAGGGGGAGTAATGCCCTTTTCTGAACATACCAGCCAATCTATTAACTAAAGACTTTTCATGGTATTTAACTCATGAGACTTAACCCCAATTGTCTTGCCTGTAAGGGTTAAACCATATATCGTGGGTGCTAGAGAGTGTCAAGTTGGCAGGAGGCCAAGAGACAGGGGCACCATTTATGGGGGGCTACGGAAGTAGTATCTCCCCCCTCCTGAGTTTGAACCCCTGGATTTCACACTTGAGGTCTGCTTAAAGCCCATACCCTGAATCCAGAGGCAGGTCTTAAAAGCAACAGAGTATGAGCTGCTTGCAGCTTTGCCTTCAGGGCAGGGAATTTGTTACAAAAAACAGAGAGGTGCAGGTGAGTAAGAACAACACAAGTAATTGAAGGATCATTAGATCATCAGGAAAACACTTCTGGGTACTCCACTTAAAAGATTGGGAGGGGGGAAAGGGTAGGAATGAGTGTTTTGCTGATGGGATTTGCATTTGGATTACTGTGTTACGTTTATAAATGTTCTTGAGAAAAGGGTGAACAGGGACTAATCCAAAATTGACTGCAAAAAGTTACAAAGGGATTTCACAAAACTGGGTCATCAGGCAACACAAAAGCAGATAGAATTCAATGTTAATCAGTGCAAAATAACGAACATGGAAAAATATAATCCTAACTGTAGATACAAAATAGCTGTTACTACTCAAGAAAGAGATCTTGGAATCATTGTAGGTAGTTCCCTAAAATATCAGTTCAATGTGCAGTGGCAGTCTAAAAACTAAAACAGAATATTGGAAACCATAAGGAAAAATCACTGTATGTCCACATCTTGAATACTGTATACAGATCTTTTCACCCCATCTAAACACATATATATATATATATACACACACACACATATATATTACATTACATCTGGAAAAGGTACAGAAAGGGTAATAGAAATTATTAAGGGTAAGCAACAGCTTCCATATGAGAAAAGAAATAACTAGAGGGTGGCAAGATATGTTAGATGTCTAGAAAATGATGAATGGTGTGCAAAAATAAAATAAGGAAATGTTATTTACTCTTTCACTAACATAAGAAGCTGACCCAATTACACTTAGGGTGCGTCTCGACTGCAGGGTTTTTCGGAAAAACAGTCGTTTTTCCAAAAAAAAAAAAAACCTTCACTTATGTCCTCACTGCTATTGCATTCTTTCAAAAGAAAAATCGAAAGAATGCAGGGGTTTTTCCCAACAGCGGTAAATCTCATTCTATAAGGAAGAACACCTTTTCCGAAAGAGCTCTTTCAGAAAAAGGCATGTGTGGACGTGGAAGAGAGAGGTTTTTTTCAAAACAAAAGGAAAAAGCACAGGTGCTCTGGTGGCCACTCTGTCCATAATAATCACCGCTTAAATGCAAGATATAGCATCCATTCAGTGTGGATGTTATGTTTTGAAAAAGTAGATTGCTTTTTCGATGTGCTTTGACAGTGTGGACGCTCTCTTTCTGAAGAAATTTTTTCAGAAGATCTCTTCCAGAAAAGCTTCTTCTGAAAGAAGCCTACAGTCTAGATGTACCCTTATAGGTAGCAGTTTTAAAACAAACAAAATCAATTATTTTTTTCACAATCAACTTGTGGAACTCTTTGCCAGGAGATGGTGGAAAAGCCCATACCATAACAGGGTTCCAATAAGAACAAAATAAGTTCAAGAAGAATAGGTCCATCAATGACTACTAGCCAGAATGGGCAGGGATGGTGTCTTTAGTTTCTGTTTGCAACAGGGGATGGATCACGATGATTGGCTCTTCTGTTTATCCCTCCTGAAGTACCTGGCATTGGCCACTGTTGGAAAACAGGACACTCAGCTAGAAGGATCTTTGGTCTGACCCACTATGGGCATTCTGATGGTCTTATATAGAGCTGAAATGTATCTGCACCCCTATTGTAAACCAAAAGACCCCATCCCTCCTTCCAGAGAGGAGATAGAGCTCAGAAGTCCTGATGGGGTCTGTCTCTTGCCACAAAGTTAGTAACAGAGTAAGAATATACATTAAAATGTTAAGGCTAACCTGTGTCCCTTAAGTAACTTGCCACACGATGTCAGAAAATGTTGGTGTTAGAGCTGAGTGGATGTAATATTTAATTTTCTTTCTTTTATATAGGGATTAGATACAGTGCTCCTGTCAGCTAATTAAGTAGTTGCCTGTCAAAAAAAGTAGTTTCCAGTGCCTTTAGTAGACAGAATGTATGTGTTTAGGGAAGTGGATAGGGTTGTTTCTCTCCCGCCCCCCCAACATTTGTTCCTTGGCTTGTACTGAGCATGCTCAGTAACACTTCTGAAGCCTCGTCCTCAGTCCGCCCCCCCATGCTCTCATTCTCTTCTACACCACCACGAAAATCTGAAATGGTGCCCCTATAAGGAGAGCCAATGGAAACAAAGTATGGGCTTTTTAATTGGAAGCAGTGACCTTCCTGTTCCTGTTGTATAATCAGAGCAGAAGGACAATTTACGTCAGGAAACCAGGCATGGAGAATTTCGTGACATCCATGCCTAAGGAAGAACTCAGCCTAGAAATAACAGATGTGAGTAGTATAAGTAATGTTGAGTCAGATGTAGAATCATAGAACTGGAAGAGACCTAACAGTCTAGCCAGCTTTCTATCCATCTTATCTCATTTATCCAATCCATACTCCCTTAACTTGCTGGCAAGAATAATGTGGCAGACCATATAAAAAAAAGTCAAGGTATATCACATCTACTGACTTTCCCATATCCACAGAGCCAGTTACCTCATCATAGAAGCTAATCAGATTGGTCAGGCATGACTTGCCCTTCATGAATCCATGTTGACTATTCCTGATCACTTTCCCCTTTTCCAGGTGCCTCAAAATGGATTCCTTGAGGATCCCCTCCATGATCTTTCCCAGGAATGAGGTAAGGCTGACTTCTCTGTAGTTCCCTGGATTGTCCTTCTTCCCTTGATCAGGTTATTTCCTTTATTTTTTGATTTGTTAGACTTCTGTGCTGTAACGTTCTGAATTGAATCCCAGGGATTCCGTGTTTTTAATTTTTTTTTTCAGCTGCTCTATAACACCTAGCAACAAAGTAACGTTTAACCAAGTATGTTTTGATTTTTTTGTTGTTGTTAATAAAAATTACCCTTTTCAGACCGTGATCTGATTATAGTGTCCTGGAAGGCAGGAGGCTCTGTGTGCAAAGCCAAACTGCTAAGACAAATTACAGATTTCCAAATCTCTCTAGAGAGAGGGTTACCGCACAGGAAGGAATTCCGAAGCATGCCTTCCTGGATTTTCAAAGGAGTTTTTGCATTTGGCTGCTAGCAAGGATTCCATCCAAGGCCAGGGAATCTATGACCTTGGGAGTTTTTAACACAAGCTTTCAGGAGCAGGATATTTAAAAGTCTCTTGCATGCCCCCATCTTCTACTCTTGAAATGCCAGAGTAGTGAACAGCTTTGTGGAAAATGAAGTAATATTGAAGATCTGATGAAAACTTCCCCCAAACTTCTAGCTGATTTGAGGCTACAACTGTTCTACTGTGTAATTTGTGCCTGCATTTGACTGAGAGCAGGACTGCAGTTTTAAAATGAGAAAAAGTTTGAAAAGTTTTGCATTTAGGTATTAACCCTCATGTAAGTCTTTCCTCTGTAGAAAGAGCCTTCAAATCAATGTAGTACAAGAGCCGTGTTTCTCTAGACTCGTCAATTCCTGGATTCCAGCCCTACACACTAAACAATTGTCATTAGCTCACAAAGTACTAGCACTTGTTTTACATAATCCTTGATGGTCATTTTATGTCTCAATAGGCAGTTCTCATCCTCATATCAATATTTACCATTAAAGCCACCTGACTTTAGAGCCTATTATCTAGTTCAAAGGTTCTCAATCTTCATTGCAACGACAACCCCCTTCTGACCACAAAAATTACTATATGACTCCAGGAGGGGGGTCCAAAGCCTGAGCCCACCTGAGCCCTGCCATCTTGGGGGGAGGAGGGACGGAGGGAAAGCCCCACTGCTCCAGGTGGGAGGGGGAGTCAAATCCAAACCCAAGGGCTTCAGCTTCAAGCAGGGGCCTGTAACCTGATCCTAACTGCCCTGGGTAGAAGCTCTCAGGCTTCAGATTCAGCCTGGGGCCCCACTAAATCTAAGCCAGGTGATCCCTTTAAAATGAGTTCCTAGTCTACTTTGGGGTCCAGACACACAGTTTGAGAACTGCGTTTGTTACTGTGTTTGTTTCAGGAAGTCCCTAACTTTCATCCATTGCAGTGCCTCTTCCTTTCTGCAATGAGGTTCCACTGCCACTGGGGAGACATCATATACCTTTAGTAGTTCTGCAGAGATCTGCTTGACATGTTAAACTTCTTTCAGCTCTCAAGTTTCCACAGCCCTCAATTTTCTTCATACACAAGACTTTTCATTTTTCCACTTCCATTTATGGTTCCACCTCCTACAGGTCACATCCCTCATCAGCCGTCTGTCTTGTTGGCTCAGTCATTCTTAATGGTTCTCCCCCTCTGCTTTTGTGCAAGTCATATTGAGCATGGCATCACGTGCTAGTTCCCTGTTCAAGACAATCAAGACATGCAGGACAGTTTCCATTTTAGTCTTCCACTCCATCCTTGTTATTCATAGATTCCAGTTTCTGCTCTTCATTTCCCTTTCAGCTAAGCTCATTTGCAATTACTGTCTATTCATCACCTCCAGTTTTAATTTAAAATTCTTTAGTATTTTACTTTACTTCCACCCACAGTTCAGTCTGTGCATCTGAATCCTACATTTTGTTTCTGATTTCAAAGACACTGACGAATCTCTCTTTTCAATAATTTAGTTTAATTTTTTAAATCATAAGAACCTGACTAGAATGGCATCCTCTACTGGTATGTAAACACTTTAGGTAAGAACATAAGTACATGAGAACGCTTAGAACAAAGTCCATCAAGCCCAGTATCCTGTCTGCCAACAGTGGCCAGTGCCAGGTGACTCAGAGGGAGTGAACACAACAGGTAATCATCACATGATCCCTCTCCAGTCATCCATTTCCTGACAAACAGAGGCTAGGGACATACATTAAATTATGTGAGGGGGAAAAAACCACGTGCACCGTGTTAATCTCTTTTCCCCTAGATGTAATCAAGACTTTTTCCCCTGAACTAATTACATTTTTGTGCTGTGTGTTATTAGCATAGGCACGCACAAGAATTTTGCCTGGCTCTTTGAACGGAAGGTGGTGAGGTCTGCTGATTTTTAGGTCTTCTAGGCGTTCATTCCACAATCTCAGATTTCTGTCTTCCCCACATATCCTCATCTGAGACTCCACAAAGTCATAGGACTGGATAGTCCACCTCCTTCTAGAAAAGAAGGGTGTGGTATAGGATATTTTCTTGCAATCTTGACTGTGGGACTCAATTTTGTGTATGCTTATGTCTCCAGGCAGAATTCCTCCAAGCGGCATCTAACATTTCCTTGGATTCTCTCAAAAAGCAATGGATGTTATCAGTGGTTCTCTGCTCTGTGTGGGGTTTTTTTTTCATTTGTTGTTCTCCAAATTAAGTTGATACATGTGGTAGTGTGTGGGGGTGTGTGGGGGGGTGTTTTGTTTGTTTGTTTGGTTTTTAAATCTGGTCCTGCCCCTCTGAAAAGCAGGAGACCCTTCTGGTTTACTTTCGGGATCCATCATATACATGGGGACCAAATAGTTTTCCTTCGCCATGTAAGCTATTGTCTTCTGCACAAATGAAGTTTGCTCTTACAGTAGAAAGTTCTGTTGAGCCAGAGGACTCACGTTCTGAACCACAGGCCATGTCTACAGCTTTGGGTGACTTAGGTATCCTGGGCCTAGAAATGACACCACAAATTCTTATATTCTCCAGTGGGCTTGAGAATATAAGATGTTGCATTCAAACTATCCATTAACTATAGTGAACAAAATATCTATTCACTACCCTAAAATAGCCACATTGCCTTTGGAGCAGCTAGCATAATTAAAATAATTAGTCCTACTGTTATTCAGAATGTGGGGTCTGAGACTTGGATAGCAATACAAACACAATGGTTTGTCCAAGGCCAAAGCTGTGCTTATCTACTTTTCCCTCCCACATGCAAAAAACATTCAAAACCTGTTTCACCATGGTTAGAGCCCTGCATGGATACAAAATTAATATCTGCAAATGCAGATATAAAGCAGATATCAGTGGAGTTGCAGGGCTCTAGCAACAACATGTGAGATCAGCAGGGCCATAGGCTGTTACCAGGGCAGGAACCACAAGTAGGGTTGCCAGGTGTCCGGTATTGACCTTCATAGTCCAGTATCTTTGCCTCCTGTCCAGTAAAATGTCAGGTATTTTCTGATTTTTTCCCGGACAGGAGGCGAAAATACCGGGTGCTTACCTGGTTCCACAGGGGAGCTTTCCAGCCTGGAACAGGAAGACAAGATGGTGGATGGCCGCCAGCAGCCTGTTAGGGCTAAAAAGCCTTAAAAGCGTTTCTTAAAGGGGCCACGCTGTTTTTTTAAGATTAAAAAAAAAATCTCAACAACTTTGGTCTTCTTTTTTTCCTCTCAACAGAATTTTTTCTCCGGTATTTTTTTTTTAATGGGGTGGGAGTGGGGGAGCTATTCGGTAATTTTGGTTAAACCATCTGGCAACCTTAACCATAGGGGTAAAAGCAGTAGCATTTTGGCTGCTGCTTGGAGGAGCCAGCACTCAGATTGGACAGCTTCTCTGACATTGCTGTATTGCCCTTAGCCCTATTCACTAGGGTGTGCAAGCAGCTTGCACACTCCTGGCCGGGAGTCCCTTCTGTGTAGTGCTGTGTATTTCCTGTCTGTGAACATGTGAGCTGCTGTCATACACCAGCATGATCAGGAACATATGCCAATGAGCCTTATTCTCACCACATTTAACAAGGCTGTGGGCAGTATAGCCATGCCGGAGATGCTAGGATCAGTGTAGTCACACCACATTGGTTATATGTGCAAGCTACTAGTTACTGAGGTGAATTTGTACACATGCTTTACTGCACCCTGATTATCTCTAGACTCTAAGGCCCCTGTAGAGAGTGCCAATTACAGGCTGAATCTCTCTAGTCCAGGATCTGCCAAACCAGATAATTTGCTGAACCAAGGGAGGTCTAGCAGCATTACCAATATTTCTACAGCTTACGGGGCTCTTAGTATCTGTGCTATTGTTATTTAGCTCTAATAAATAACAATAGCACAGATACTAAGAGCCAGTATCTGTGCCAGTATCATTGATACTAAGAGTCAGTGCCGTAAACAATGTTATGGAACCATGGGAAACTTGGCCATGATAAGTGGACATCTAGCTAGCTAAAATCATGCCAGACCATGAATGGTGCTGGACTAGAGAGTGCTGGACTAGAGAAGTTCAACCTGTAGTATCAAACCTATTGGTGTGCTATGTGATATGGATACCTGTGTTCTAGAAATGGGACTAAGACCACTAATCCATTTCACGATGTACAACCGGTAATAGCAATTTTCACCAATTCTGTTTTATGCTATATTTAAACTGGATTTTAACAGGCTATCAGACATTTCAATTCAATCTTGCAGTTATCTTCTTTTTGTATGGATTTCCACATCCTCACAGTTAAAACTGAAGGGAGAAATAACCAGCAAAGATACTACGTATTAAGAAACAAAGCTTGTTTTAATACACCTGTCCTTAATAACAAATCAAGCAGGGAGAGGAAGGGAGGTAGACAGTGAGATGTATGTAGTTGGAATGGTTTCGTTTCAGGATGGAATAAGTTTCTTAAGGAACCAAAATCAGTTCATAAACTAGATTAAAAGCACATTACCCACTATTAGACTGTAGCCAACTCCAAGGTAGAGCACAATTATTTAACACTGCACAGCAACACTACAACTCATGCTGAATTATATCTACTGTTCATCTTTTAATCTAAGGTCCAGTTTAAGAAGGCAGAGTATAATTCCCCAATTAAATGTTTGCAAGTACTTTTTTCCTGTGTTGCTTGCCAAAAAAAAGTCATAATGGGAACTGTGGGCATTAAGCCCAAGCTATGAGGCCCTTGCTGTTTTCATCTGGAAGGTGGCAGTTTAAGCCTGGAACTTCTTCTTAACACCCTGCTGACATTCATTCACCAATTCAACCAAACAAACGACTCCTACAGAACGCCCCTGAATCTCTCATCAAAGCCTAGACCAGCCCTAAGCCCTTTTAGCTTCTCATCTCTGATGCAACCACATCACAGTGGTACATCTGCAAGATTCTGGTGGAATGATTTTCAAAATGTCTGTCATTACTCTTTACGGAGTACATATGTCTTGAATGGTCAGAAGCTGAATATAAAAGTAAGTCTCAGAACCACAATAAACAACCAGTACAAAACAGTTTGATCATGCAAATTAATGATTCAGAAACATTTACATTCCAGTTGGTTTTTAGAAAGAAAATGGGTACTTGTTTCATCCATCAGCAAGACGAGATATGTTACTTCACACTCTATGGGAATGGGAGAAGGAACGTTCATTATGTTTAAAGCACTGAGGCAAGTTATCTAGTCTTTGTACTTAAGGGCTTGTCTGTGATCGAAAGTTTCACCGCTTTAACTATTGTAGTTTAATAGCAACCCAATTGATCTGAAAATACTTATACTGATATAGGTTATTCTGCTTCAGGAAATAAAATCAGCTATAGTGATAGGTGTAATTTTTAAACCAAAACAAACTGAATGCACTCTAAGACTCATAACTATATTGATTAAAATCCACTACGCCTCTATGGCCAGGTCTACACTAACAGGGAATGTAAAACCAAGATATGCAATTCCAACTACATTAATTACGTAGCTGGAGTCGACGTACCTTGTTTCAAGTTCCCCTTGCTGTCTACACAGTGGGAGGCCAACGGGAACATTTGCTAATGCACCCATCAGCTTCCCTTATTCCTTGCACAAGCAGGAGTACCAGCCACCGGTGGAAGCACCCTCGGAGTTTTATTTAGAGTGTCTTAATTAAACTTGCTAAAGTGAACTTTGGAAGATTGATTGTGGCAGCATCGATCTTCTGTTTAGTGAAGACATGACCTCAGAAACACAGTTATAGCAGTGCAGTTCTATAGACAAGGCCTCCATTTCACAAAGCATAAAACAGGTCTAACACACTACGTAAGGATATTTAGATTTAAAGGGCTTTGAGATCTACAGCTCTCTCAAAGACCTTTATAAATACGAATTTACCCTGCCTCGCAAAAATGTGACTGCTGTAATTGTTCCTCTTACCTAACTACACAGAGCTACAAATGCTTCAAAAGGAGTGAGGGGATCAACCCACCAAAGCTGCACAACAGAAGATCAATCCATACCAGCCAACCTCCTCTGCTTGTTCTTACTATACTATCTTCTGTAGATTTGTTTCAAATAGAGAACTACCTATTATCTTTAAGGCCCAGGATGAATACAGCACAGCTGCTGTGTGTATGTTTCCAAAACCAAAATGTTAGTTGTTGATGGAGAGCTCTAACAACAACAAACATCAAAAAAACCTAACAAACCATGATAGGAAGGGCATTTTTA